GGCGATTAAACTGGCTGAAAAAATTGCATCCCATTCGCAACTCATTGTTGCCATGTGCAAAGAAGCTGTGAATACCGGTCAGTGCATATTTTTTGTCCGTTTTTTGTTTCTCTGGTTTATCCCCGCTTTATTTTGAAAATCCGGCTGGTTTTCCCTTTTTCTCTGTCTGTCAGCATACGAAACAACTCTGGCGGAAGGTCTGCATTACGAACGTCGAGTGTTCCACACAACATTTGCAACTGTGAGTTAAAATCGTTGTTTCTATATGCTTCTCCGATGTCATAGAAACCCTTGCTCACATTTATTTCTCTATTTTCGCAGCATGACCGCAAGGAAGGAATGACTGCGTTTGTGGAAAAACGCAAGGCGGACTTCAAGGATTCCTAAGAGAAAATGGCCGTGTTGCAGTGTTTTGCCTTGAAGCTGAGAAAAATGTATCATGGCGTGATTTTTGCTTGTGTTTTTTGTTGGGAATTTGTGGCGTACTAGGTGAACGTCTTGGAAGTAAATGCTTTGGGAAAAATTTGGTGTTCGCGAAAGCCGAGCGTTTCATTGAATTCCGATCATGTCGAGTGAAGGGAAAGTCTGAGCCTGAAATGTTCATTCACTCGTCGTTAAGGATGTCTTGCGATGACGAAACGGTGAAAAAAATTTGGTGTTCGCGAAAGCCGAGCGTTTCATTGAATTCCGATCATGTCGAGTGAAGGGAAAGTCTGAGCCTGAAATGTTCATTCACTCGTCGTTAAGGATGTCTTGCGATGACGAAACGGTGAACGGAGAATTTTGTGATATTTCGGTGCCCGAACAAATTTGACGGGATGGATTCGGATATTCAAGAGAAACCCGCCGAGTAAGTTTCCTACTTGATATCAAATTAGCGGAGTCGATGTAAGTGTGACGTTTATTGTTGTTGACAGCGTTGCCAAGCAGCGAGCGCAGAAGAAATTTTCAGAGTTGATCCAGAAGTTCTATCATCAACTCACTAAAGGATGTGGTCGCAGTTCGTGTGACAACCCTGACTGCTTTTCTGCCGGACGGGTGAGTGGGTACCACTGCTTTGCTTGTCGTGCCATGGGTACTTGGGCATGTTACAGATTTTTCGAAAGTCGCTCACGAACCAAGGTAGAAAAAAACTTGTCGATAATTTCGTGTATTCTTCCTAATTACTTGAAAAAGTTTCCTGAATAATTTTATGAGCGTATGAATTATGTATGATGAAAAAAGGAAATTTCATTCTGGAGCATCTGGGGAAAATTGAAAGAATTGTCCTGCATGGATTTTCACGATAAAAAAAATATATTTTTAAAATAATTGACCGTTCAAAGTTTTTCGCTGTTTTTTTTTTTTAAATATATCATAGAGCATCTTTGAAGTATGCACGCGTTAAAAACATGTCGAAACGTTGCCCGAGCTTAATTTCTGTGAGGAATCCTCCGAAATTAACTTGTCAAAGATTTTCGCGAGCTGTTCCCAAGTTTAATTATCACATTGTTCAACTACTCTCTGATAAACCACCGAATTAATGATCGATAGCCTATCTTTTTAAGGACGTTGAGCGGTATTATGTAGTACGAAAGTAGCTGAACGTTGAGCCTCAATTTTGAAAATTTGTTTTGTTGACGCTTTTTGCGGGTGATCGAGAAGCGAGGCAAAAATTGACGCATGCCGTGTTTCATGGTCGATATTTTTGATTATACTTTTTCCTGGTCCTCGACTTCATTAATTAATTTCAATTTTTTTGCGGTAGGAAGTTGTAATCTGAAGGTCGTATGAAAGGCTTAATGTTTCAAGTGTATTTTATGGTTGAAATGGCGTCACTTCGAAGACTTCTCGTAAAGTCCAGGTTTGATTTTTCTCTTTCGATAAAAAATACGTCATTGTTTTAGAAATTATTCCATAGTTATTTTTCTTTTTCTTCTCAAGTCCTCGGTCATCAAGAGCTTGATGTGTTTGATATACCTTTTGTCTTCTTTGTTTTGCTGGGAACAGTTTTTTTTTTTTATTCAGTTTGATTTTTTCATCATGAGATATGGTGGCCGTGAAACTGACCACGCGAATCCGTGTACTTCAGTCTCCTTCTGCTTTCTGTACTGTTGGGGTATTGGATAAATCTGCACGTACTTCGTATTCGTCTTTGAAAATGAAAGAATAATTTTCTGAAAATGTCAGATGCTGAACAAATTTTCCTGCAGTTCTCCTTTGTTGATGCAATTAATTACACTCGTGTGGAGAAAATTGGTTTTGGACCCCCACTGAGTGTAGAACTGCCCTGTAAAGCACATAACAGTAAATTATATGTTATTTAAACGTAAATAAATAAATAAATATTGTTGTGTATATGCTCGGCAATATTGTACTTGTAAAAGCAGGAACTCGGAGACGAGGGAATTCATGTTTTTGAGAAAATCAAGCGTATTGAAAAAGCGTTCATTCGTCATCAAAGGGTACCTGCATCATTACCAGCAACATGGATTTAATAAGTGAAGGACGATTACTTTTCATGCCTTTTTATTATCGAAAATAATGTTGATTCAGAAACGAAATTACGGGGGTTGGTTCATAACTTTTGAGACTTTTTAAAGTAAATCCAACGGAGTTCCAACAATTGAAAAAAAAAATTACTTTGCTCCATCATTCGGCAACAATTTCAATGCATTTTTTCATGCAATAAATCCAACGATCAAAACAGTGCCAAAAAATCGAGTTCAGTTGGCTGATGAAGCTGCTCTTTGATGGCAGAAATGAGTTTGCTTCTGTCCTCGAAATAAATCCCTTTCAGGTCGTTCTTCATTGCCGGAAGCAGCCAGAAGTCACAGGGTGCCTAATCAACTGACATCAGTGTTGCCAAATGATGGGGCTAAAAAAATTGGATTTGTAGAAATTTCATTGGTTGTATTTAAAAAAAATTCTTGAAATTTATGATCCAACCCTCGTATATTCGTTGACTGTGCGAGTCGCTTTGTACTGTATAAGAAAGCCATTACCTTTCGAAAACGTCAATACTGTACATGCATTGATGGATTCCTGGCGAGGGTTTTGATGGTATTTTTTCTTCCCTTCAGATGAGTCCGCTGACACCCGATCAGGCCGCAGTGCGTGCGGTGGACCTGCTTCGGAATCACGCTCGTTTGTGTTCCTCGAGTCCACACAAGTCCGCCGAAGATCCGGATTTCAAGACTCAAGAATGGACCAACGACGAGCGAATGAAGAAATGCATTCACGCCTGCGAAACTGCCGGGGATTACAGATTACTCCGACATTACCTCGGACGAATTTTTTCCGACCCTGCGCGAGTCAACCAAAGTTTCTTGTTGGAAGGTCAGTGCTTTAGTTGCCACGTTTCTTATTCTGATTCCCAGCATCCGGGTTTTGCGGTTTGTGTCAAGAATATTATCTAGACAAATAAAGGTTTTTAAGATTGAGTTTAGAAATTTGAAATGAAACACACAAATTTCGTTGGGCTGTGACCAGGGTGAAGAATCACCCTATTTTAAGGTTGGTGTAATCCAGTTTTTTAACGCGTAAGTTTGAAAAGGCAGCAATTTTGCGTAGATTGACGAGGAACAACACACACAAATGCTCAAATCGGAATGGATGATTTTCACCGATTGAGGAAAACAGGAAAACTGTCCTTCAAGGACAAAAAACAGCAAACAGGATTTTAGCAATAAAATGCAGCCTTGAAGGCCCAGAAACAAACGTGAGAACCAAGGTCTTCCAAGATTCTCACAGAGATGGAATGAAAGAGGATTTTTACTGAGAATTTGCTTTCTCTGATTTCTGCGTGATGAATTTAAGGATGCTATTTAATTTTCGCGACAGTTTGGTAATTGAAACTGCCATGTGCAGCGACTAGTGGGTTACAGTGGGTACCCGTATAACAAAACTAATGTAACCTCAAGAGAAAATGCATTTCATGCCACAAAAATTCAGCATAAGAGGAAACGCGTCGAGGAACGGATTAGTTTCGTTATGCCAAATTTGTTGTTGCATGAAATACGTTTTCTTGTGAGCTTACGTTGTGATTGATTATTGCCACCAAAAGACAAATTTGTGTATTTTTCAAAAGAAAATTGTGAATTTAATATTCAGTGTGAAATTAAACTTCCGACTCCTGCGCATGAAGTTCCTCATTTCTCCCATTGTAAAGACAAGAAAATGTTCAACCAATGCTTTTCTTTTCTATGTTACAGTGATTCTCGAAGAATTCTCGAGTTTCAGTCTAGTCGCGAGAAATCTTCTATCCAGTATATGGTAGAATGAAACGAACTTGAATTTTATTTTTTATACTGTAGATGGATTTTTGGGAGGAATTTTTTTGGAGAGTCAGGAAGGTTTTCGGGTTTTGTTGATATTCGTCGTACATCTTTTCTAGATTCCCGAAAAAATTGTTTGAATTACTGTATACACGTACATTATTATGTGATACTGTACTCTACTTTACTGTACTTGCAGATGGATACAGGGGTGAACCGTTGGATGAATGGAGACTACGTTTGGACGTTCCCGCTCTTCGACGTTGTTACGAGATGTTGAAACCTTTGATGGAGGAGGTTTCTCCGGTTCTGGTCAATGCTTTCATTCAAATGTTCTCCTGCGCTGAAACGGATCTGGCGACGAGACACTGGGAAGAGGTAATTCATTAAATCTTGGTGCAATGTGTGTCCCATTGGGGTTCTTTACCATAAAGGTACGACGATATTCTCTCTACAACGCATTTTTTCTGATCTCTTGAACTTCGTTTTAAAGAGAATCCACCTGTATAAAGCTGGGATTTATGTATAAATTCACTCTCTCTACAATGAAAAACAATTTTTTCTGGTCCCTTGAATTTCGTTGTAGAGAGAGTGCATTTATGTATGAATCCCAGCTTTATGCAGGTGGATTCTCTCTAAAACAAAGTTGAAGAGACCAGAAATATTGTTGTTGAGAGAATTTCGTTTTGGAGAACCCGCAAAACATGCAGAGAGAACTCCGTGCGATCATAAAAGAAAATACTGTAGTTATTCAGAGGAAATCGTTTTAGGAGTCCATCTGATTTATAACTCAAAAATCGTCGACAGTTGAAGTCCATGATGCGAAAAATCCATCATGCGACTTTTATTGTACGGGTTACCAGTGTACGGTATATTTCGGGGAAAAAAAATTTACCCCCTCGTGTACATGCAGATTCCTGCTTGATGAGGAATATTTTTCATAGATGGCACCGGAGGATATAAACATGTTCCCGATCGCCGTGGAGCTTATGGACCTCGTTGAGGAGGAAGCATCCCAGCTGGAGATCATGCGGTATTTATGCCGAGCTCACAGAAAACTGCGATACCGGGGAATGGTGTACTTGTGTCGCACTTTGGTGAAAGCTTGCGACGCTGCTCGTCTCGAGTCGGTTGTCTCCAAGGTGCATCGTCACATTGCCCATTCAGTCAGTAACGAATTCATCTCGTCCCCGGACGGAGCCCAGGAAGGAGTTATATTTCTACGAGTGAGCTATTTGTTTCGCACCTCTGTCTCTCACCCCAAGCTCGATTCGTGAGAGACCATTTTTTTTTTCGGGAGGAAACTGTACACCTAATATTTTCGAGGAAAAGACTCAACTCACATCACGAAATAATTTCACCGAACAAAATTTTTCGGCCCGAAAAAGTGCGCAAATTCTTGGAGATTTTTAACTAGAGCCTGAGAATTTTCCAAAAATCAAGAAAAAAGGGGAGAGAATAGCATAGTTCTACATCTTCTTGTCTGTACTATGTGAAAAATTCACGAAGTTAAGGGTAAGATTTGTCAGGATTACTTTAGCTTCGTGCTGAGCGAAATAAAATTCACAATTTTTACTTGAGAAATACCTGCTTGATGTGAAAATAATGCAAGGTCTGACGTGAACAGGGATCGTGTTTGATTCTGTGTTGAATTAAATTGAAAATCCCAAAAAGCCTTTTGCTATTCTTTTCTGTTTCTGTCCGAATCGCTTGCTGATCAAAACATTTAATACAATTTTACCTGGAGACGTGACTTGGGAAATTTGTATTGAGTTTTGATTCTGTTATGATAATGTGTCGCGATGTTTGCTTTCTTGTCGGATATGTACCAAAACACAATATGCGAATTCGGGAGATAGTATCCAAGATTTTTCACGTTTGCTTTGCTTCGTGAATGGATTGGTCCTCTGGAGATATTTGATGATGCCGTGTGTAATTTTGTATCGAAGGTTTCACGGCTATGTTTTCGCAATTTTGCAGGTTCTTTACTGTGCGAGCTTGTTGGGAGGAGAAATTGAGAAACCGCTTCCTTGTCAAGCTGAAGAAGTTATCGAGCGGAAAAACGCTGGGATCGTGAGTCTTTCTGACCTCATCGACACTGCCCAGGGAAGCAGTCGAAGTCGCGATGCGTGAGTAATTCAGACTTTTTTTTCTCTCTTGAGTCAATGACGTCTCAATTTAATTTTTTTTTATAGGCTGAGAGGAACGAAAGTTCTGACGAATTCGAGCGAAGATCCGTTGTTTTTGGCTCTGGACCTGGAGCCTTTGTACGTGTACAAACCTGTGGTTCCACTGATGAAGTTCTATAATCAAGAGCTGAGTGTGGCATTGCCTGTTGAGAAGGACTTCATGGAATACAATGAAGTCAGTGATGGTCCTTTTCCGCCGTTCAGGTGAGATTTATTATAGTGACTGTTTTCTTGTGCATTACAGTTGAACTTACGTGTGTCCAATTATTGTTTGTTCAGTCCCTGTCCGAAATCCCTTGAGAAAAATCTAATATGGGTCAAACTCAAATGGTTAACTCAGAGACTTTCCCCCTCTAACCTGTAAATTTCAAATTTTTGGAGGCGTAGAAAAGGAGAAGAGCGATATAAATGTAACTTGATGTTTATCGAACGGAACTACATTCAGCATCCCGTCAACTCGTCTATAAATGCATGTCAACGCTTTTTTCCAGCAGTTCAAGGCCCAGAAATCGTAAATTTTACCTTCCTGTAATTCCCCTGCAAAATTGCTAATTTCATTGAAACAAAAACTTATAAAATCCTTTTTTTTTTGTCTTTTTGAGTGCCTTGAGGAGATTCGACAGGAACATGTTTCGATTTACCGCCGTTCCAGCTTCTGAGAAGTTGTTGCAGATTTTCTTGGCGTTTGTTTATGTTCCCTTTCTTCTTCTTGATTATTTTGCTGGTATTTCAAGCGGGTGTCGCCTGAACTAACCTGAGCAAAAACGAAAAACTTCACCGAACCCTTCTGTTGGTAACCTTACAAGAATAATGCAGTGTGCGGAAGCGACATCTATGTAAAGGCGAAGAAAATCACTGTCCTAGAGCGTCGGGTTCTTGAAGGGGCAAAGCAACTTATTGCCCTGTATTATTGAATTGTATTATCATACCTCTATGGAGTTATCTGTATTGTAGCCATGATTATTTTCTCTTTTTTTTTTCTTCTTCTTGTGATTGTCTCAGTTTCCTGCGATATCCGTTCGTTCTAACGCCGATGGTGAAATCCACGGGATTGTTCTATCTTCATCGGTTCCAGATGCTACAGCAGCGCTACTACAATACAATCGCAGCTGTTCACATCGGACAAATGCCAACTCCGTTTTTGAAGCTGCGAGTTAATCGCAAGACTTTAATACAAGACGCTCTACAAGAGGTTCGTTGCCCTTGGTTTGTTTTCCACTCTTCTGAGTGTTGAGTACTATACTGTACTGTATTTCAAGGATATTTCGAAGCTTAGGAGATAAATTGAGATATTTTCTGTGTAACAAGAGTTGTGCGAGATGAGTGAAATCTTCCCCAAATTTACCACAATTTTGTGTTGGGGAGAAATATTTTTTAACTCAACCAAGATAGCATGCGTCAAGTTCTGTGGGAAGGCTACTGATGTAAATTATTTTCTCGTCATGAAATACAAATTATTCGACGTCGAACACGAGGAATTTTCTCGAAGTCAAGTGTCGAGATGAAGGAAAATTATATTTTTGGTAGCTGGAAATGGTGGCTTATTCCGATCCGACAGCACTGAGCAAGCAGCTGGTGGTGCAGTTTATCGGAGAACAAGGAGTGGATGAAGGTGGTCTATCCAAGGAGTTTTTCCAGCTGGTTGTTGAAGAAATTTTCCATCCTAATTACGGTATGTTTTCGCAACCGAAATTTAAAATCGCACCTGTGCTTGAGTTCAGGTTTTCCGTATTTACGCGGATATAAGCACCGTTTTTTATACCAATTTAGAACCTCAAAAAGTAGGCGGTGGTACAGGATTTGCATATTTGTATAATTCAGACGAATATGTGTTTAAGTAATGAAAACCGTCCTCTTCACGGCCCATGAAACGATTAGGCCCTTATTTTCTTCAGTCCTTTTGGAATCGAAGTTGAAAATAATGGAGAAATGTTCAGTGTTTAGCACTTCACGAAGAAAGCGAGTCGTTGACTGAAGGAACAGAGCAAGGGTTTTTCAACACCCTTTTTCATTTTCTGCGGAAAATATAAAATTTAGTCGGAACATTTTAAGTTTATGGAAAGTCAGTACACTGGGAAAGTATTTGGGTGCTCATATTCGACTATTATTGAATTTTAAAATTTTGTGCATGAGAAATCGAGAGAGGGATTATATTTGTGTAATTACGGTACTTCTAGAAAAAGTAAGCGTATCAATGTTCGGCTTCAATTTAGTTCGTATCCATGACGCATATTTTTGAATATTTTTTTTCCGCTTCCTCCACAGCATTATTTACCCTGAATAAAGAAACCAATACTCATTGGTTGAACTCGTCGTCAATGGAGAGCCCAGGACATTATAAACTCATCGGCCTCGTGATTGGATTAGCAATATATAATAACGTCATTCTCGACGTACATTTTCCCACAGTCATTTACAAGAAACTCATGGGGAAAACTGCGACGTTTCATGATCTTGAAGACTTTGACCCTGTGAGTCCTATTTCGAGAAACGCTGTTTGTGATTTCGGGTTTCATTTTTCCTTTCATGCCTAAATTTAATTTCAGATTGGACCTTTGATTTTCGAACGAAAATGGCCTGTGAACCTTATTTTATGTTAATACTGTACATATAATTCGAGTTTAAAGACCCTTAGTTTGTTCATTTGATCAAAGCAATGGCTTGAATCAAAATCAGAACTTTTCAATGTATAGAAGTAGAAAAAGTGCTGAACTCCAGTTGATAATTGAATGAGGATGTGAAAGAAATTTGTATGCTTGTTGAAGATTGAATAAAAAATAAAAAATTGACTGTCTCAATACTGTATAAGCATAACTGATGTGTTTTTAATGTTAAAAAAAATGTGTGTGTGTGTGTGTTGATTTTAGACGTTTCTTGAGTCGAATTTCATCGTCCCACAGGTTTTGTACAGAAGTTTGTGCAGTTTGCTGGACTACAATCAGCCGGATGTCGAGGATGTTTACGAACAAACTTTCGAGATTGCGGTTCGCGACTGCTTTGGAGAATTTCAAAAGAAGTGCCTGAAACCCGGCGGGGACAAGATTCGAGTCAACCATGAAAATAAACTCGTGAGTTTTGAAAGCATTCTTTAGCGAAACCAAATCGTGCTTCAGAGTTTTATTTATTTTTTATTTTTTCAACATTTCAGGAGTTTGTCAAAATGTACGCCGATTATTTGTTGAACTGGTCCGTCGAACAGCAATTTTCTGCTTTCAAGAAAGGGTTCCTCATGGTGACGCAGCAGTCGGAAGTTTTCTCTTGGTTCACGCCTGGAGAGGTGGAACTTCTGGTTTGTGGAACGGTGGTAAGTTTAAATCCCATGCTGTAAAATGCATCGGGACCCCGACATACGGACGATTCAACTAGAAGACACTTGAATCTGAAAAAATCTTCCCCGACATTCGACAATGTATCGAGATACAGACACCATTTTTCTACAATATTTCTAGAGAAAACGGAAAGAACAAAATTTTTCGAAATTTGTATATCTCTCGAAAGGATTGAGCTATTTATTTTCCCGAAAATTCAAAATAACTACAGGCCTGTATTAGTATAAATTCACTCGAATTCGTAATCGAAAACAGGCCTCTGTCCTTTTTCGCAGTTTTTTCCATCATCTGATCAATACTGTATAACGAGATTTGTTCTGGATATTTTTGCTTCATGAGCTCCTTTTGATGCCAAAAGATAGATTCCGTGAATTTCTTTGGCACGATGATTTTCTGTTTCTTCGAGTTCAGAACAAAATTTGAGTCTATTTTTGGGGGATTTAATCCTGATTATTGATTAACTGGAGAACCAATTCAAATTAGGTTCCCGTTGAAGTCTGTGGGGAAAATGTGATCCATCATGCGGAAGTTCCTACGTAGGGACAAGGTCCAATCACCGATTACGTCCGTATCTCGGGGCCTCACTATTCTTCCAGCGAAATTGAGTTCGATACAACCCGTGGCAGAACTAAATTTTCCTTGTAAAAGAAAACAAGAATTTGCGCATGGATTGGGTTTGATGACTGTCCCAAATTCTCGGACGAAAAACCTGATGTTAATTTCTTCTACGGGAATACTGAAGTTTCAAGAAAATTTTAATCTCAGTTTGGTTGAGCATTCTCCAAAAATGTGGTACTGTATGGTCATGGCGAGTGTGATTAGAAAAGTCATCCGGAGTGTACTTAAACTTCCTCATCTACGCTTTCGATTGTTCATCTTCCGCTAAAAAAAAAAAATGCTACGTTTCATCGAGTGGAAACGCTTGGAGTGAGCAAAATCACTCTTGATAACTAGTGTGGATAATCTTTTGCGACTGAAATCATGGTAGACAGATACCGTGTAGAGTAAAATTTCGTTACAATGAAGCCAGGAAACTACCTTCCTTGTACCGAAAAATTCGTTTTAAACTAACTCATTAAAAATAATGACTATTGGCAAGGAACACTAAAATAACGACCTCGTCGTGAGCGGTTATTCGTTGTGACGAGATTCTACTGTTATTGAGATCAAATAAACCAGATATAATCGGGTCATCGATTTTCCGTTGACTCAGACGGCTGTTCATATTTCAATGCTCGTTTGCAGGAAACGGACTTGACGGAACTGGAGAGTTTTACAAAATACGACTGTGGGTATTCAGCGGACAGTGAGGTGATACGTTGGTTCTGGAAAGCTGTGCACGAAATGACGAGTGAGCAGAAACTGGATCTGCTCAGGTTCATAACTGGGTCACACCGCGTGCCCGTCGGTGGCCTCAAGGCTCTCGGTCTGGTCATTTCTCGTCATGGCGACGATTCCAGTCGGTAGGTTATTTTCTTTTCTGAAAAAAAATGAAAATCGTTCATCCTCTCATTTAATGAGTTTTAGGAAGTTGGATCATATTGGGAGATATTGCATCGTTTTTTGTTTTTGTTTTGCTATTCAAAAGAAAATATTTCATCCCCAAAATTACAGTTGAACCTCTTCAAGTTAAATTTAAATAGGCCAGCGAAAAATATCCGAATTGGGAAGGTTTTGAGTCAGCGTAACTAATATATTCTTTTTTGCCTTGAAAACAAGAATTGAAGGAAGTAGTTGAAGTTAGTGATCTTTCTTGGCCAGAAATTCCCTTCTGAAAAAGATGGCAGGATGCTGAACTTGGAGGCAAGGGTTCATTTGTTCCCAGAAGTCGATTTAATAGGATCCGAAGGGCCGAAACATTTGTTCTATGTGCCTTTAAATTTGATCTCTTTCAAGTCAAACTTGAGGGAACAGCCAAGTATGCTTCGAGAGGTTTCGAGTTAGAGAGACAAACATTTGTGTTGGGTGAAAGGAAGAAGAACTACAGGAAATTTTAATTACTGATATTCTGTGCGTTAAATTGCTTTTTAGACCAGTTGACGGGATGCTGAACTTGGAGGCAAGGGCTCATTTGCCCGATTAGTCTTTCGCTTCCTTTCAAAACACGTTTATTTACATTTTATTGCTTTTCTCTTTCCTGTGTCAATAAAGTCATAGTCAAAAGGCGGCCTCCGGAAAATTCGAGTTACAGAGGTTTGGGGTGTTCTCGTGCTAGAAACTTGTTCAATGAATTGTTTCTAAGGAGTTTCTGACAAGGACTTCAAAAAAGTCGACTTTAGGGAGGTTCGAGTTGTCCGAAGTTCAACTGTGCTGTAGAAATGCAGGTGCTGAGACCTCGTGGCTTGGTGAAATAATTATTTTGGAGATTTTCTGTGTCGAGTAGAAAAAGTTCGACCAAAGTTACTTCGTTGTTGTCATGTAGAGGTCGCAGGCGTTTCAGGCCTGCATGTGACAGTGTAATTACTCGGAAGCAAAAGACGAAAATAATGAACATAGGGAGGCTGCTCTGTTGTTCACCCATTTTGGCTGATCAACTGTTGGGTATTTTTTTTCTTCCATGTGTTCCAGGTTACCATCAGCTCATACTTGCTTCAATGTACTGCTGTTGCCGGGCTACGCGAGCGAGGAACTATTGAGAGAACGGTTATTGAAGGCATTAACCCATTGCCAGGGGTTTGGGATGATCTAAGCAAGCGTGGCTGGACCCGAGGGTTCAGCTTCGGAACAAAAAGTTGGTTCAGGGAATAGAGATTCGTTTTATATGCTTTCACGCGTCGAGCGTTTTCCTTCTTCGGGTTGTGATGATTGAAACCGAATCTTGACGACGGACTTTAATTCACGATTTCAGGATCCAGTGCGACTTCGTAGCAGACGGAGTTGAGGAGATATTTGTGGATGATCTCGGCGATTTTTGCGCGCAAAGACGGGTGTGAACCGACGAGTTGTGCGAGTGCCGCGTAATCTCTGGTTTCGTACCTGTAGCCAAAAAATATTGCAACCACAAATTCTAAAGTAAGTTTTCCTGTTTAACGAGCAAAATATACGGTAGTACTAGTACATGCACTGGGTTGTCTACAAAAAAAAAAGCAAAAAAATTGAACCGTTTCAGGAATTTGACGATGTCCCCTTTTCCCTATGCTCTACTTTTACCGAATATGATTTGCATGCTTCCTGATCACGTAAGGTTGTCGCTTGATTTCTGTAATTTTTTTTTTTCAAGTGTTGATAAGGTTAGTTCAGCTTCACTTCGGTTTTGTTCGTTTGAATAGAAGAGGCGTTTCTTTTCTTTTTTTTTCAACTCTCGACATCGCCGAATGTAATTTCTTGTGACCCAGTAACGTGTGTTTCTCCTGATTTGTCGCATTTGTCCAATTATGGTCAGACTTAATTGGGTTAGACTTCGAGGCCTGATTTTGCAAAGGTAATTTTCGTGGGTTCGCACTGTATGACTTTTAGAGTGTTCTGGTCTATGACAGGAATGCATTTAAATTTTGCCTAATCTTTGGTGGTAAGCTAGAGATGTTATTCAGTATTGATGGATCAGCCGAATTTGAAAATTTCATTTTTCTAATAGTTAATCGGGTCAATTTGATGTTCATTCAACATCAGCTAAATTATCCGTCTTGTATGAAGGGATGGAAAAATTCCGCTTTATTTTTTAGGATGAAACATTTGGCCAATTTGATGTGGTTGAATGTACCGTAAAATGTTGAAACTTTTCATTGCGTGAGACTTCATTCATCCTTACTTGCAAGTGAGCTCACGGACAGCGTCGACTATTTCTCGCTTGTTGGAGTCTTTGAATTGTTCCGAGTATAGCAGAAGGTCCGTGACAGGAATGATCTCGTCGTCTTGTGCTCCGTTCCAGTAGTTGTCAATAGCGTACATCGTCGCCAGTGCAGTCAGAATCAGAGCCCCGATAGGACCTGTTTGTCGTGTTGGAAAAATGCAGAGTTTTATCATCAGCTGTTCTCAAAACTCAATTTCAATAAAATTTCATCGCAAAATACTCGTAACTTCAGAAAAAGTTTCATGTAACAAATTATTTTTTATCCCGATTTTTTTTTAAATTATGGAATTTTCATCAAATCAAGCCTGCATAAAGACACCAAGATGCGTACGTAATTGGTGCATCAAGAGTGTCCCAAAGTCGAGTCTCTTTTTCCCTTAGACTTACATTATATAATTTTGAATCAGTGTTTAATGTAAAACATATTCACCATAATTCCATGAAAATATAAATTGTCTCCCAATTTAAACTGATTTAATCAATATATTTCAACACAATATGAACATTTGGGGAATTGAACAATAATACCTCTGTACAGTCCATAGAAATGCTGGCTTTCTCTGTAAAAACAACATTCAAGTGAAAAATAGAGAAGGAAGTCCCTCTACGCTGGAGGTAATTCTTTTAATTAGCTAAATGGATGAGAAATTGGTGAGAGAAATGCCCAAGAAATTTTCTTACATCAATTTTAGGGTTGGAAGTACATGTTTCTTGTAATTTGGCCCAGAATTTATTTGCAATTTCATCACAAAATGTCCCAATGTTGAGTCAGTGTCCTCATGTTGGGGCTTTTTATTAATTTTTATGGGAAAATAATTGTCTTTATATCAAATTGTCCACAGGTCAAGGTGTCTGCATGTGGGGGTCTCACTGTATAATCAAGATCTTTCTTTTGTGGCCTTTTCGGATGATTTTCATCATTTAAAAAGCAGATCTTCATAAAAGTTTGAATGACTATTACAAACATTTATCAGTATAACAAGTAAACACTAACAATTTTTGTGTACTTCCAAGTTTTTCTGAAAAAGAAAGCCTGCACAGCCTGCAAGGGTGGATGTTCAAAAAAAAGCTTACAGCAGTTGTTGAGCATCAGTTGGGTTTCTCAAGCAGCCAAACTCAAAAAACGTTTTGTCCCAATTGAACCAGTCACAGTCAAATATTCAGTGGAAAATTGGCTGTGCCTGCCTTCTCTGGGGATTTTTTATTAGGGAAATCATATGTTCTCCAAAAAAAATTTTTATGCTGGGATTTCAGAGTCTTCGCAATGAGATTTTTATAGATTGTGCCTTGTAGGGTTTTTTGCCAGGTATTGTAAAAAAGATTTTGTGATACTGAAGAATTTGTTCTGATGGTATTTTTTGTAACGATATTTTACTGCATTGCATTATGAATCATTTCATGGTCTTGCTAATTGTATGCTTGTGTCATTTGTGAATGAGATGTGGTTGCCTTTGTTTTCGAGTAGCCAAAACTGTTTTATGTAATAATCGCACCCGCTTTACTGACAAAAATTGCGTACAAGGATGATTAATGATCACTTAGTCTATGAACTGTTGCACTAAGTGAATCGCTGTGTATGTTACCCGAAGTACCATTTCACTGGGTGTTGATCCTTTTCGAGACGAACGAATTTAAGGTTTTCGTCATTTCACGATGTGATCTAGCTAATGTGTGGTGCTATTTTTCCAGGTAGCCATGATTGTTCGTTGGATCTGACGCAGTGAAATAGTGAGGCGGACACGATTATGGGTTTAATGACAGGTCTGGCGGACTCGCTGGGCGCCAACGAGTCCATGATATGTTTACTAATAGCCCTGCTTCTCGGCTACCCAGCTGCCGGGGTACACCGGTACTTTGTCCGGCCCTTGGGCCCGGGTATCCAGAATCTCTATTTCTTCCTCGCCGGGTCCCTCATAGTCGTGTTTTGTTTCGGATGGGGCATCGCTCATTGCCTCTTTTGTCTCGGCGTTCAGTACGTCATCTTGTTGGTGTGGGGCAAGACTGTCGTGTCACCAATGGTTTCCATGGCGTTTCAAATGATGTACCTGCTTTGGGGGTACTGGCGAACCGAGAGCGACCTTTACGATATCACGTGGACGTTGCCGCATTGCGTGTTGACTCTGAGGCTGATTGCTGTGGCGTTTGATCTTTGGGATGGACAGATGAAAGTTGTGAGTGTATTTTCCGTGTTTGGCTGTTTCAGTGGTTTCAATTTTGACCATGAAGTAACGATTAATAAATGGGATAATTCCGACAGTACTGGAATGAATCTCACAATTTTACTTTGGAGCAGATGAAAAATGTACTGTACTGTATGTTGAAGCCCATGAAGCATTTCTGGAAAGTTAATGCGTTGGCATATATGTGTTGAGCTTACGATGTCATCTGCTGACTCATTTTTTTTTCCCTTCGACTCCTGTCGTTTTACAGGAGAAAATGTCGGAAGAACAGAAGCACAGAGCGCTCTGGGAATGTCCGAGTTTGCCCGAGCTCTGTGGTCATGCCTTCTTCCCGGCCTCCATCATGGTCGGTCCCCAGTTCTCCATGAGACGCTATCAGTCCCTGGTCCACGGGGACTTCGAAAAGAAGCAATTCCCGCCACCGTGGCGTCTCGCCTTGGGAAGACTAGGCCTGGGAATGGTCTACTCGGGTATTTTTGTGATGTTCAGTGCCTTCTTGCCGTGGGACTATCCGTTGTCCGACGAATTTTTGGTGAGGAAAATAGTCAAAACTACGAGGGTTGGTTCGTAAGTTATGAGAATTTTTAGAATTAATCCAATTGCGTTTCAAGTCAACGATTCAAATATTTTTTGATTATTCACATATCCCCATGATTTGACAACACTTCGGCTGATCTCAACGCATTTTTTCGTGCGTTAAATCCAAGGATCAAAGCAGTGCCAAAAATCGACTCCTGTTGTGCAGTAGTTGATTAGGCACCCTGTGATTTCTGGCTGTTCCTAACAATGAAAAAATGAATTGAAAGGGATTGATTTTGAGAACAAAGACAGCCTCATATTTCGGCGGTCAAAGAGCTCAACTAATTGATGAACTCGAATTTCGGCACAGTTTCGATTGTTGTATTTATCGCGTGAAAAAAATGCATTGAAATTAGCGGAGAGTGTGCTGAACAGCGCTGAGAAACGTTGTTAAATGACGAGGCTTCGAGATTCAAAAATTTGTTTTTTTCAATTAATGGAACTCTTCATGATCTATTTCAAAAGTCTCAAAACTTCTGACCCAACCCTCGTGCTCATGATCGCGTTTCTTCTTGGTGGGATAACGTGGCTGTTCTGTTGTTGTGTCCTGGCACATGTGGTTCGTGATTACTCTCCTAGATGTCGTTCGTGCATGTTTCGCCCTAAAATTCCTTTAACGAAAACTATCGCCCAAAAAAAAAACCGTACAGTACTGTAATGTATTTTTATTGTTATAGAATTAATGGGAAGACAATAGTGGAGAGCGGAGGACTAAGAAGGGACACGATTTATTTTACTGATCATTAATAACGCGTTATTGGCGTCTTTCTGTTGCAGAGCCGTCCATTGTGGCAGAAAATCTTCCTGATCGGGGTGTGGGGTAAACTCAATCTGATGAAGTACGTGGCATGCTGGCTCATAACAGAAGGAGCGTGTATGTTTTCTGGATTGTCCTTCAATGGACAGGATGAATCTGGGAACCCGAAGTGGGACGGATGTCGCAACATTCACGTCGTCAAGTACGAAACTGCGACCGAGTTTCAGCAAATGATCCATTGCTTCAACACGAACACAAATTCCTGGGTCTCTTGGTAAATGTCTTGAATTGGACGGATGTCGACTCGACCTCTAGACTGATGTAATTTGTTTTCTTTCGGAAATTGAAGCTATGTTTTCAAACGTTTGAAAGTCCTCAACAACAAGCACGTCAGTCACGTGTGTGCCTTACTGTTTCTGGCCGTGTGGCACGGATTGCATCTCGGTTACTATGTCATGTTCCTCAACGAGTTCCTGATGGTCACGCTTGAACGACAAGTGAGTTTTATTTCATCCTTGATTCGGAAGAAGGTCGAATCTTTTTCTGTTGGTCAACTAATACGCATTATACGATGAGTCCTTGGGTAACGAACGCCCTCGGAAATAAATATTTTGGGGGGGCAAGAAACCTGGGTTTTTTCGCCATTTTGCCTCAAGCAACGAAATAGACTTGAGGAGTAAATCTCAAGTCGATTAAAAAGAATTGTGATCCTCCGAATTTTGCAACAACAACTAAGTTGAAAAAAATATGTTAGACACGTCGTAAAGATCAACTCACAATGACTTTATCTTCTCAGGTTTATGCTGTAATGGGACGAAATCCGGAATACGTGAAGTTGACTAACAGTTTTCTATGGAAACTATTGACGTGGCCATTCAAGGCAATTTGGCTCTGGGTCGGAATTTCCTACGCTTTGATACCATTCCTCCTCCTGACAACGCACAAGTGGTGGTTCGTGTACAAAAGCTTGTGGTTCTGGTTCCACGGCGTCCTGCTCATTGGGTACCCGTTGGCAAAGATGGTGCTAGCCTCGGTTCTCGGGGTAAACGGACGAAAGTACGAAACTGACAAGAAAACTGCTTGAATCTCTCTCTCTCTCTCTCTCTCGAAAGAAAAAAATTCGAGGAAATCTCGTGCTGTAGTTGGAAAATTTCGTGTGGATCTCTTCGATCGACTTGTCGTGTCTTGGTTTATTTTTTTTTCTTCATTTCTCTCTCTCTCTATCTCTCCAGACGATCGGATGCATCAGTCGAATGAATTGTGTAGGAGAGTGCTTCCAATGACTCAATTGAATCTCTTCCTTGCTACTTTACTCCACGCTTGGAGTAAACTTTTGATTCTGCTGATTTTCCACTTTTTAGTCATCTCGAAAGAATTTCTGAGAAGGGTCTTGGTGGCGACGAGATCCCGGTTGAATTTGTTTCCCTACCCCATTCAGCAATATTAACAGCATTTTATTTTTATCTAACTTACGAGAGAACCTCTTGAGTTGATCTAGAATTCAGCTCGATGAACTAATCATGTTTATTTCGTGAAAAAGCATTTCGGGTTGAACGAAATCAGCTTTTCCGTGTGAAATGTCCCATTGAACCGGTTTTGGAAGGAGAAAATTCTTATAGAAACACAAGCTTTTTGTACGCAGGAAAAAAAACGGGCGAAGTCTCCCAGTAGTATATACGGGAGATGTTCAAAAAAGACTTGAGTGCGGTGAAATTTTGCAATTAAAAGACTAGTCGGTGACGGTTTGACTTCCAGTCACAAGTTCGCGATTTTTTTTTGTGTCGCGTGGGTTCGTACTACGTTTGAATGCCAGATAATGTGGAGTGATTTCCGCGTCCTCAAAAAGAAATAAATATATGTTCGTGTTTTAATTCTTGAAGTTTTACGACGGTGGCAAAGCGATTCGTTTTCAACACTCAATTTTATTTGCCTTGGCATGATTCTTGCGCAGGCCAAATTCGCAATTGTTGAGAGGACTAAAACATTATGCTGTGTAAGTGATTAGCCCAAGATGGTGGAAATCAGATGCCAGGCATTCAGTTCAGAAATGCTGCTTCCTAAACAACGGCAGATGATCTCGAAATGCCATGATTTTGGACAATGTTTCAAATTTTTCTACAAATTCTTCAGTCAAACAAACATGTTCCTTCACATCAATATGCCGCCTGTTTATGAATTTAGCTACTTAATTAAATCGTATTTGTTAGTGAAAACATTGGTTCAAAAGCAAGAGGTCGTTTTCCTGAATGCCTCATTTTTCTTAACAGTCAGCATCAACAGCATGATATTGTAGCTAATACAGTAGCCCTGCTTTCATGACCAGTGCCCTCTGGCGGAAAATCTCCAAATACATCACAAACCTTTCCAGTAAGTTCCAATGAATGCAAAAACTGTCATCAGGAAAACAGTCCATAGTCCACGTCTGTTCCTTGCACCCCTGGCATCTGGAGGTAAGGACAGCAGCCTCTGCTCCCAAGCAACCCAGACAATTAAATCGAAAATGTCGATGTCGCTGATGGCCATAATCAGTTAATGATTAACGAAGCTAAAGATTAAGAGATTATAGTGTAAAAACTCATGTAAGTTCTGGTAACATTAGATCATGATTGTATCTGAGCTATGACATACCGTACTTTCTGGCAGAAATGTGTGATGTCAAATAAGATGGCGACGCGCCTCGTAGTGTCGTCGTGGTCAAGACGAGAGAGCGGCTTCTGTTCGTTGGGAATCGTGAAGGGATGTGAAGTACAGCGCAGTACTTGGTTATTTCGGCTGCATGCATTTTCCGTCGATTATTTTTCGTCAACGTCTGATTGCTTTTCTCCCGTTTTAGGGTTTTTGTGCTTTTTCACTGTTTTTTTGTCCTTAAACCGATAATCGGCTATCCTTGCTTACACATTGCAAAATGGGCAGGGAGGACAAGGCCACGTGGAAGAACAACTATTTCACGAAGCTAATTGTGAGCTTAGTGTACTATTTTGGCTTTTTGGTGATATGAAAAGGTTTCTTTTTTGGTTGTAGCAACTGCTGGATGAATACCCCAAGTGCTTCATCGTTGGAGCCGATAATGTGGGGTCCAAGCAGATGCAGAACATCAGGATCTCTCTTCGAGATAAGGCTGTTGTGCTTATGGGAAAGAACACCATGATCCGCAAGGCCATTAAGGGCCACCTCGAAAACAACCCAGGGCTCGAGAAGTACGTTGTATACTTGAGAAGAATTCGTGAAAAGTTGATCTTATCGCGTCATTCACAGGTTGTTGCCGCACATTCGTGGGAACGTCGGATTTGTTTTCACGAAGGAGGAGCTGACCGACATTCGTGAGGTGCTTTTGCTGAACAAAGTCCAAGCACCTGCTCGTGCTGGCGGTAGCGCCCCGTGCGATGTCGTCATCCCTGCTCAGAACACCGGTCTGGGACCTGAAAAGACCTCTTTCTTTCAAGCTTTGTCTATTCCCACGAAAATCTCGAAGGGAACGATTGAAATCATCGTGAGTAGCAATCGTCCATTCGAAGTCTCACGATATCTTTTTAATGTCAAGTTTCTTTTTTTAGAACGATGTCAACTTGATTAAGGAGGGCGACAGAGTCGGTGCCTCAGAAGCTACACTCCTGAACATGTTGAACGTGTCTCCGTTCACTTTCGGTCTCGTCATCGAACAAGTGTACGACTCTGGTACCGTCTTTGAGCCAGCAATTCTGGACATCACATCGGACGACTTGCGGAAGCGTTTTATCGCCGTGAGTTTTCTAGTCCTGAACAAATTCTTATATAATGGGAACAGGTTTAGAATTGTGCTACCCTTTTTGTGGAAAATATCATTGTCTCATTATTTCGGTTGATTTTTTGCTCAGGGCTGCATGAACATCGCAGGAGTGTGTTTGGACATCGGCTACCCAACGGTGGCTTCAGTCCCGCATTCCATCATCAATGGCTTCAAGAACCTTCTCGCTGTTGCGGCTGAGACCGAAGTCACATTCAAGCAAGCTGAAACGGTCAAGGCCTATTTGGCCGACCCGTCGAAGTTCGCCGTCGCCGCCGCTGCTCCGGCGGCCGCCTCTTCCGCTGCCGCCCCGGCCGAAGCCAAGAAGGAAGAGAAGAAGGAGGAGTCCGAAGACAGTGACGCTGAGGGAATGGGACTTGACTTGTTCGGTTAAATCTCCTGTCTCGGGAAGGTTTTGGGGGAAAAATGAAGAGAACGAAGGCGGATTACATGCGTGATGATTTATTTCTTCTACCTGTCACTGGTCATCCAACGCTCTGGTCGGCTCCCTTCAATCATATTCGCTTTTGAATCAATCGAAGAATACCTGTTTTACATCATGAAATCAAACGATAATTGCGGAATGCTTTTATGCGTCATGAAATATCGAAATAATTACGGGTGGACTCCATGATGCTCCAAGGAACGAATAATTCGTTTTACGATGGATGTTCTGAACGGGCTGTTCGAGAGTCGCTCGCCTTTGGAAATATCATTGCATATTGAACGAAGATAATTTTGTTCAGTGGGTTCACTGATCTGAAAGTTAATTTTGCCAAAAGTGATCTTCGTTCAAGTTGATGCACGTTCGACTGTTGTATTTCACATTTCTGAGTAAATTGAGTAACCTTTCCTCGAACTGAAATTCAATTTTCAATATATTGCGGACAAATTTTGGCCTGTGTAAGTCATACCCCAAGGAAGAAAGGATTAGGCTTTTGTAAGACGGAAAATTGCTTTGAATGACGAATATCATTGTGAAGAGAACAGCTGCCAAATCCACCTGTATTCGTGAGCCTGGGATGCATCAGTTCCTTGAACTTCATGTGAAACTCGTGATGATTCTGGGAATGGTGGTTGAAGGAGATGTTGAACAGTTCAAAGCATTGGATGAGCCACACAGTAGGTCACGGAAGCGCAATTAACGAATCGTGTAAGGGAAGTAGATTCCCTCAAGATCCCTTTGAATGTGACTTACGAGATTTTATTGGGATTGTAAATGGTGAACTACTCGATCTAATGCTTGGTTAGTGTAAGTGACGAAGAATAACATGAGAACTGATGAGGTATTGGATCGAATGACCTTGATATAATTCGATGAAGAAGTTCATCGGGCGCATGTTTCCAAACCCGTCAACATTGCTTCATATTTTGATGTACTCGTAACTTTCTTCGTTTTAGAAGCTGTGGTTTACGCGGTAGTAGTATTCAGTAGTGCCTTGAATCATGGATGACCGCGGTGAATCCGCGGATGTCGAGTTCAAACGAATCGCGAAAGCCGTCTCTTCGAACATCCAAAAGATCTGCGAAAATGCGAACCAGATGCAAAAGATGATCAGCCAACTCGGGAGTTCCGACGATTCCGAAAGCTTCAAATCTGAGCTGTAAGTAGATCCTTTCTCTTCTTTTTTTCGAATTACTGAAATCATTTTTATTCATCGTCTATTTATCAGACACAATGTGCAACACTACACAAAGACACTTTCAACGGATACGAAGGATAAGTTGAAAGATATGAAGGAGTTGCTGACAGATGTTCCATTGTCCGAACAGGTGAGAAAACCTTTGTGTATACAGTGCTGTTACTAACATGCTTCCGAGAAAAATTCGAATGTAAAAAAAATCAGACTCGGCACAAGAGGGAATTCAATTCAACTCATGAGATAATGAATGGTACTAACGTTTATCTCGACTTTGGGGTCATCTTATATGTATATTTTCAACTTCGAACATGAGAGATTCGCACTTTTGTTTTCTGGAAGGCACGAACAGTTCTGTGGCTTTTAAGGGAGCAGTGTTCCCTTTTCGTCATTCGTAGTTTTTGCACTTCAAAAATGAAATGAAAACGTTGAAGTCCACGCGATAGAGCATATTCGTTGTGATGGCTGTAAAAAGGTATCCATCTCTTTTTTGAAGAAACCCTCTCTGTAATGTCGGCGTGTTTTCGAGGAGTAGGGAAAGCTTTTTCCGAGATGAAAATGTGTATTGATTGTTGTGCCGTCATGGGTTGTTCGATTATTCTCTTCTTCATCAGAGAGCGCAGAAGCTGTTTTTGGAGCGACTGACGAATGATTTCACAACTGCGTTGAGCAAGTTCCAGGAAATCCAGAGATCTGAAGCAGAGCGGGAAAAAGAGCAAGTGAAGATGGCTCACAATAGGTCTTACAAACTCCAACCTCCGCCTGGGAGTAAGTTTTTCGTTTAAATTCGATTATTTGTTTCAAAAGTAAGATTTTGGACGTTTTGTGATGCGTCCAGGGACAAATGCGAATGAGATACCGTTGGAACCGTCCAGTTACCAGAGGCAGGTTTTCTTGGATGAAGACGGAGACCTGCAGAATCTGCAAGACCGAGAAGCTGCCATCAACCGTTTGGAAGTGAGTTAGACTTACTCATTTTTTTCTAAAAATTTTAACCATGGTGGAAAGTGATTTTGTGAATATCTCGAACGATCTCTGATGAGCTTCTGTGTGCATTTTTATGCAATGCTATAGTTTTCAAGTGCATTTTCACCCTTTTTTTTGACGACTTTTGGTTCTGCGAGGAATGTGTGTCAGTGTTCGCAAAATGATTGAATGAATTCCGAAAAGTTTGATCGCTCCATTGTGTACTCATCTATCGGAGGTACAAAAATCGCTAAATATTCATTGTGAAACGTTCTATGTGAGGAAAACTTTCATGGACCATGATCAGTTTTTATTTTATTTTGGAAGTTTTACCGGAAAAGCGAGTGTCAGAGCAGCTAATCCCTGAAGATCGAGTGCCGTTAACAAGCTAGAAAGATGAATAATTCTACAGTCTACGCGATTCTCGATATGACGAATTTTTCAAAGTAACGAAGGATCTTTCCTCTTTTTTTGCCCCTGACCTTCTGTGATTGTTCCTTCTTCTTTCAGATGTGCCCTAGTCTGCGTTGGCTCTTATAATTTCTACACATTTCGCGTTATGGAATATTTTATTTTCGCTTTCGAACGTCTTCATTATTTTTTCTGCGTTTTAAGGAGGATATCCGGGATGTGAATGACATCTTCAAAGACATTGCGACGCTGGTTCATGCTCAGGGAGATGTTGTGGACAGCATAGAGGCATCGGTGGAAAGTGCGGTTGTGCAAGTTGACGAAGGGGTTGTACAGCTAAACAAAGCGAGTCAATATCAGGTCAGAATGGCAATTGTCAATCCGTCTATTCGAAAAATCTATTCCTACAATTGCCTCTCCTTTTTCCGCAGGCCCGAGCGAGAAAAAAGAAACTGTGCCTCGCAGTCATCGGAGTTGTGATCCTGTTGGTGCTAATATTGATCATCTACCTTTCGACGAAAAACTGAGGCCATTTTCGTATAGTTTTTTTTCGGCAATAAGTGTGATGAACACGTGACGTTAACGGGAAAAAAATCTGTAGCTGTTGATGCAGTGCACATCTTTTTTTTTTTTTTCGCTGGAAATCCCCGCGTAAGGAAGTTTTTACTGTGATGGATGTGCGCAGGGTTTGCGTATGATCAAATCGTTACGCCTTTCAAATCCGTGGAACAGTTATGTGGAGCGTATTTATGCAACCCGAGGGATTGATTTTTTTTAATGACTTATTCATTGTGATAACTTCGCAATCCTTTCACGTGCACGGATTAATATTCGAAATGCAGTCATTCCGGAGAGGAAAAATCGCAAAAATGATGAACATACATTCCCAGTTTTTTTCTTGATGGATAAACGTGTAGATATCTCATGTATACACTTTTTTTTCCGCAGGGAAGGAGTGTCCAAATCAGTTTAATATGACGTCGATGTTTGATAATTCAGATGATGAATGGGATGCGCCTCCTGCGGCCAAGAAGGCGAATGTTGATGCTGAAGAACCCCTGAGTCTTTCATCCCCTTCTTCCACTGGAGTCACTCTCACAAATGAGCAGAAAAAGCGGATTGAAGCAAACAGGTAATGCAGCAGAATCTTGTCAAGGTTTAAAACAAAATCTGTGACGCGGGAAACCATTTTTTTTTCAAAAATTATGAAATTAGGATTTGATGAACGTTTTCATGACGCAAGGACTGTAGAAGAACAGGTATAAGAAGGAGTTTAATATACTGATCAAGAATTGGTATACCGAGGTTTTACTGTAATTCGAATGCATTCCTTGAAGAGGGATCGTATTTTAAATCGTCGCCTCCTGATAAAAACACGAAGTACTCGACATTTTTGGTATTGGAGTTTGTTCTGTAGTACTGTTCAATATGTTGAGCTCGTTTATTTGAGTGTAACTTCAATTTTTCTGGGCTGATGCTTTCATCGAAACCGTTAAACTTGAAAAGTACCTCAATTGGAAATAGAAAAACTTGAATGCCGATATTTGAGGTCATATTTGATTGTTCTGGATGATGCATATACAGTAAATACTTTGCAAAAGAAATGTTTCATGCGAAAATGTGTGGGTTTTCCAGAAATTCGCCAAACAACTGACAGCATTGATCATGTAAACTTCACCAAGAAAATTTTCGGAAAACATTTCATGATTTGTAATGTTTTCAAAAATTATTTCAAAATTTGACGTCTCGTGTTTGAAAGCATATTACACCATCACAAGAATCACGGAAATCCAGGGTTAATTTAATTTAAAATTTAGAAAATTTAGCGTACCATTATATATATGAGCTAAACCCACTCCTGGAGTTTAATAATGCTGGAATTTAATTCCGTGTCAATGTCTTTTTTTTTTGTTGAGACATGACACTTCATTTCCAGCTAGAATACATCAAATTTTTTTTAATGTATTCAATTTAATTCGGTTTTTTTTAGCGAGAGATAAAATTAATTTGTTTTCAAATTAATGAGCTATATGGAAAAATGTCTCTCAAAATACGGTAAAAGGACAAAACAGAATATTTAGAATACGATCTCGTCTTGACAATGTTATCCTAAATCACGAGAATTTGAATAAAAGAACCTTTCCGTACAGACCAATTATTCATTGTCAGTCTGGCGTTTGTTGGATAAAGCACATAGAAATATATTCACACTCTACAACAAGAAGTTTTATTCACTTAAATACAACCCCAGCCGTAAGAACAAAATCTTCTCAAATCAAAAGTTGTCCTCAAGAATCAGACTACAAAGAATAATCGGTCTTCGCGGAAAGAAATTTCTGCAATAGTGAAGGTTTCTTTGATTCAAGTTCCCGCAATTTAGGATAACAACGACTTGGTGCAATTTGAATGGATATGCTGAGTTTCGAAAGACGAAATGTAGACAAAATCGTTGGAGTTTCTCATCACATCTCGACAAAGCATTTCTGAAAGATATTGTAAATATTTCTGCAATAACTAGTAGAGGGTGATTCTTATTGCGTTTAGTGTTCTTACGAGGAGTGTTGGTTTTTTTTTTTTTTATTTGGAGGCCTGAAGAAAGAAAAAGATTGTAATTCGAAATTTTCGTTCGTCTACATTCAAATTGAATTGTTTGCATAATCTCGCTGTGTTCTCAGGCAAAAGGCTCTGATGATCCAACGCGAACGGGAATCCAGAGCCAAGAAGGAACAATGGAAAGCGGAAAAGGCCGCAAAGGTTGCCAAGCAAGTCGAAAACGACAAGCGAAAGGCCGCCATTTTGTCCCACGCAGAGCGCATAGTGCAGTACAACGACACTAAACTCATCGACAGTGGCTCGGGATTTTTCGTTTCGGAAGGCGACCTGATTGAATGCGAGTCTAAAGAGAAACGGGTATAAATGCTGTTAACGTATTCATTTATTGTTGATGAACGTTTGTGAGGTCAAGAAATTTAGAAGAAAAAAATAACCAGTTGAATATAAGTACTTATTCACGTGCCTTTGAGTGAAATGCTCACCCATATGCTCAGAATTTCATCCAGAAAATTTATCCAGTTTAATAAAGGTTGCTATTTCTACCAGAGACTGGCCATTATTTGCAGTAGAAAGAGTTAATTTTTGAAAAAGTTATGGAATTTGGCTTTCGATTGAATCCCAATTCAATTTTTTGCATTTTTATTCTTGCATGTGGCGTGAGGATTGGTTCAAAGTTTCACAACATGTTTCCAAAGTTTGGTTCAATTGGTTCAAAGTTTCAGAACATGTTTCCAGACCCAGGTAGAAATTCAAGGGACCAGAAACAATTTGCTGTAGAAAGAATTTCGTTGTAGAGAACCCCTATAAGATGGAGAAAAACTTCATGGGACTGAAGAAAGTATTTGTTATACAAAGAAAATTTTTGAATAGAGAGTCCACCAGCATTATTTCCTTGAATCTCCTCTCAGATCCGGTCATTGTTAGATAGGACCAGGTAGTTGTCCTCAATTCAATATTGTTGCTTTTCACCGTACTGTATTTACTTGACTACCACACTTTCAAGTGAGATGAACTCCTCAATTTGTCAGCCCAAAAATTTGAATGAAAATGTATCCTCAAGTAAGATACACACCCAATTTTCAGGGATTGAAAATTTAATATTTTGAAACTAAAATCCATCAGAATTTAAATTTTGACTTGAATTGTAGTCAAATTGAATGTTACTTTCCGATTGCTTCAATTTTTTGAATTGTCTGTTGAAATTGATCAAAAATTCCCGGTTGGTGCAAAGTATGATGCATACCAAAGATTTCCAATGTTTGAAAAATGTTGATTCTGCATCTGAATTTTAAAAAGAAGAAATTTGTGCATGGTACTCAAATAAATACAGTACTCACTCAATTACGAAGGTTATTGCAAAATTTCCTCCTGTCTCGTGTGTATTTACTGGTTTGAGGATCGTTGATGAACGTAACTTTTAAAGAGGAGCATCTGTTAATTTCTTTACGAATGTGCGAATTTTTCCACACCCGGATTAAAATAAAAATACTGTAAAATAAAAAAGCGGTGCAAATTTACGGAGTAATGAGGTGAATTTCGTGCATGTGAATCCTTGCTTTTATTGCTTTTTAAATTTTATTGTAATTTTTAATTTTTGAAGGTTGTTCTGACGGAAAAGAAGGCTCCGATTTTAGCACACGACGGTCAGCCGGATTGCGATGAGTGCGGGAAAGGATTCAGCGCTTCGTACTTGTTCGAGCATTTCGACGAACCTGTCTGTGACGCATGTCGGTGAGTCTCGAAGGGAAGAAAAAAACCCATGGAAGTTATTTTTGAAAGTTTTAAGCAGGAAATTTTTTTTGATTTAAGTTTTTATTCTTCATGGAGGATTCTCGAAGTTGTGGTTGGCATTTTATCGCAAGGTGTCGCTCCGACGTCGGCCAGATTTGCTGCCAATTGCCTTGTAACGGTTGATTTTTTCACCTTTAGGTCTCCTCGCAGTGATATTCTTGCTTCGAAAAAATATTTTCCATACTTCACTTTGAAAATTAACATGATTCAAACGATTTTTTGAATGTTTGGTTTCTCCGTAAGGAGTAGTTTTCTTGATGATGAGGGACTGCATGCGACACTCGACTACTGTATACGTATATTGAACGAATTTCATGCGACGTGTCCTTCTTTAATTGTAGTGCTGAAGTCAAAAGTAGTTCATTCTCCCGTTGATACATGCTCTTGTTGAATTTTATTTCTTCATCAGAATTCTGGGCATTTGACGTGTGAATTCCTGATCTTGTCATCGTGTATGTTCGCATATTCTATTTTAATTTTCTTTTTTTCAGGGACAAGGACGAAAAGCACGCATTGATCACCAAGACTGACGCAAGGAACGAATTCCTCTTGAAAGACTGTGACCTCGACCTGAGGGAACCCCTTCTTCGCTTCCTCACTCGCCCGAACCCACACAACCAACGCTGGGGTCAAATGAAACTCTATCTCCGGTTGGTTCGTTGTAAAATGTCTCCGTTTGATACTTTGCTGTTGCTTAATTGAGGTATTTTTGTGTGTGAAAATTTGTATGTGAAACACGGTATAAACAAGTTTTTTTCGATAGATTTTTTATCATTTGTATTAAGATTGGTTTTCAGGTTTGTTTACTTGTGCTGGATAGGAAACAACTTCGATGGTATGCGCCAATGTTATGTTTTCTTTGTTTGAAGTTCTTTTTTCATTGATTCTGGTTGAGGCTAATAAGAGTACAGTGAGACCCCCATATGTGGACACCTTGACATGCAGACAATTTGACATAGGTACACTTATTCTCCCAAAAAATTGATAATAAAGGCCCAACATGAGGACACTGACTCAACATAGGGACATTTTGCAATGAAATTGCAAATACATTTTGGGCCAAATTACAAGGAACAGATATTTCCAACCCTAAAATTGGTGTAAGGAAAGTTCTGGGGCATTTATCTCACCAATTTACCATCCATTTAGCTAATAAAAAAAATTACCTCCAGTATGGAGGGACTTCCTTCTGTCTTTTTCACTTGAATGTTATTTTTTACAGAGAATGCCAAAATTTCTAAGTACTGTAAAAAGGTATCAGTATTCAATTCCCCAAATGTTCATATTGTGTTGAAATACTGTATATTGATTGAATCAGTTTGAATTGGAAGACAATTTTCATTTTCATGGAATTATGGTTAGTATTTTGACCATAAAACACCAATTAAAAATTATATAATGTAAGTCTGATGGAAAATGAGACTCAACTTATGGAGATTTTGACTTGAGACACTCTTGATGCACCAATTATGTCTGCATCTCAGGGTCTCACTATAGTATCCAATTTTGGATGCTTTTAAATTGGTATTCTTCCAAGTATTCCGTTGTCCCAAAGAGTCTCTGTGTGCTCAAAGCACAAACTCAGATGAGGGGAAGTTTTTAGTCTTGAGTTTGTTAGATGTTGGTTGCATAAATTAACATTTTTATGGCCACTACAACTGTATTATAAATTCAAGTCTGTTTTTATTCCATCAAAATCCTACAGTAATTGTGTTAGAACGCGTGAGAGTGCAAGAAATGTGTTTGTGTATGATCCCAGATCCAAACCTGGACTTTTACAAAACTTTGCTGGCCAATCGCAGAAATGAACAGATACAATAGTTCTGGATTTTCTGCGTTATGGAAAAGCAGCAATTGAAAAGCGTCGTCGGATCTCAGATGGGATTTGTTTTCTGTCCCACGCGAAGTTGAGGGTTTTTTATTGATCAGAAAGTCTTTTTATTCCGTTCAGAGGTGATGGAAAAAGCGCTAAAAAAATAAAAAGCACAAAAGTACCCTCCTTTGGATTACGAATACGAGTGAATTTGTGATGCTGTATTTATAATTTTGCGAATATAAATAGCTCAATTTATTCAGGAGGTATCATCATTAAGCAAAAAAATTCCTTTTTTTTCAAGTTTGCGAAGTGTCTGCATCTTATTGAGACGTTTTCTGGATGTTGAGGCATATATATTTTCTTTTTAAATCGAATTGTCCGTATGTTCCGGGCTTCACTGTCAAATGTAAAATTTTACAAAATTTTCATTCAATCCCAAACAGGTTACAAGTGGAAAAACGAGCCTTGGAAGTCTGGGGCTCCGAAGAAGCCCTGGAGGAAGAGCACGAGCGCCGCGGCGGCAACAAAGAGCGGACGAAGCAGAAGCGAATGGAGAAGAAGGTGA